CTTTGTTGTTCAGCCGGTTGTCTACTCACCCACGCTCACATCTAGCATTTTGCGATCGTCTGTAGGAAGTGTTTAATAAGCCACGAACTGTTGAAATCAACGCCCGAAGGCGTTAATGCGTATTGTAAATAGAGGAATCTTCTGGAATCATGCAGTCCCTCGTGACAATCGTATCAGGATCAGGAGGGATTTTCTTTTTTTCTATTTTCGTCATTCACTGGGAGAAAAAGGGAGGGTTCGTGTGACAAAAAATATTGTTTAGGGCTTTTGTGTAAAGAAAATATAGGGAACACCATGAACACTTGATTGTTGGGGCCATATTGTTACGAGTTATTATTAAGAAAAGTACATTTTCATCTCAGTTCACCGAGGGAAATTATTGATTTTTTTTCATACATAATCACAATTAATATAATTAATATAATTAATACAATTAATATAATTAATGCGTGTGGTAAATAGAGGAATCTTCTGGAATCATCCAATCCCTCGTGAGAATCGTATCAGGATCAGGAGGGATTTTCTTTTTTTTTTTATTTTTCTCATTCACTGGGAGAAAAAGGAACGGTTCGTGTGACAAAAAATAGTGTTTAGGGCTTTTGTGTAACGAAAATATAGCGAACTCCACGAACACTTGAATGTTGTGGCCATATTGTTACGAGTTATTGTTAAGAAAACTAAATTTTCATCTTAGTGCACCGCGAGAAATTATTGACATTAAATAATCCTTTATTTTTTAATAGAGAATTTATCTGGGATTAATGATTTTTTTTCATACATAATCACAATTAATATAATTACGACATTTTGATTGGAATAAAGATATGAGTTGATCAATTACCAACGAAAATATTGTTAAAATGAATAGAAACAGGTCAAATTAATTTCTGTGAGTGACCTAAAAATAATAGAGCACTAATCATCGTGATCGACTTTGATGAAAGATAGTGAAAAAAGCTGTTTGGTCGGTTCTGCGTGGGCTAGACAAAAATAAGTGACAAAAATGTTGTTCAGGGCTTTTATGTTACAAAAAAGACTGTGAATTCCACAATAATTTGTTAATAAAATTACATTCTCATCTCAATGATGCCCAAGAAACTATTTATTCGAATTGAATAAGCACTATTTGAACAAATGAATGGGTTCAATAATTCTTTATTTCTTAATAGAGAATTTATTCAGAATAAATGAATAATTCATTTACCATAATTACAACATTTTTACTGAAATCAAGACATGAGTTCATCAACTACCACCGAAAATATTGTTAAAAAGAATAGAAAAATGAATTAATTTCCACGTGTACTAAAAATACTAGAACACTAATCATTGTCATTGACTTCGATGAAAGATAGTGAAAAAAGTAGTTTAGTTGGGGCTGCGTGGTGTTGAGAAAAATCCTCGTGTTGCAACTGTTCGATTACGCCTCCGTCTGTTACCGACATATAAGGATTCTCTGTTGAGTCGTCAGATACCGTGTGCACTGCGGGGGAAGGGGTGACGAGCAAAAAAAGCCCAGTCGTTCTTCGGTAACGACGGAAAAACGGATATAGAGACGTGGGAGGGGAGGATTTCTCGGGTATTTCGATATAGCGAAGAAAACGGGTTATATTCACCGTGATATGGACTTTTCCAAGCTCCTTTGTATATATTCACACAAGTACAGTTTGCGGTCTATCCTTATACCGTTATTTTTCACCGTGCATTTGCTCCCTCCCCCGTTCTTTCAGCAGCGATTTGCTCAAGTTGTATTTTTTACCTGTTTGTTTATCTTAAAACGTGTCACACCTCTGGGTCAGAGCCATTGTTTGCGAAGAAAGTATGCATTTCATCACGTTTTTATTCATTGTTGGCGACAATTCTGTTATCCTCTGGTTTCTTTTTTTATTATCGTGAGGGAATATCTCATTTTGCAAGATACAAATTTATGGATTGAGGAGTATTTAGATTACATTACTGCGGAAGCGTCTGCAATTCGTGTTATTCTGCGCATCTCCTAATCAGGGGTCAAGACCCCCGGGAGAAGAAAGTCCGCACTGCCGGTTGCTTTCTGTTTTACAGGGAGATTAACTTGATACTTGTTTACATATTCGCTTTTTTTGGGGGGGAGGGGGTAACCAAGGCGAATGGATGAGTTGACTGCACGGAAAACAGTGAGAAAAAATTATTGGAAAACTCAAGAAGGGGCAGGTGAAGTAAAATGTTGAACATTTCTATTCCATTCAACATGGGAAAAAATAATTCATCTGTTTTGAAATAATTTGTTTTCTTCAGGAATTCCGGGAATTATGTTGTCCTGAACTATTATAATTTTGTAGACACTTCAATTGACAAAGTCAATTATTTTTTATTGTTCCGGTCAGCCAGTCAATGGCAGATAAAGAAAAGCGACGTGCTGGAACGTATTTAAAAGTTCAAGAGCAATATTGTCTAACAGTGCACGGGAGTAATTTTTTTCATGACAAAACAATAACATTTCGTTCCGTATTTTTACACCATTAGAAATTTTTCGAAATTTCATGGAAAATATGGTAGAATTGTGATGAGAGTGACATTGAATCCGATTTAGGGGAAAAATGGTTAGGAAATTTCGAGTTTTAGGTAAAATTAAAGAAAATTCGTGAGTTTTCAGTGGAAATTTCACAACTTGACTGAATTTTCAATGGAACGTGAATATTCAGAAACAAAATGACACGAATTTTCAATTTTCCCGGAATTGTCCTGATTTTCACGAATTTTCACAGAATAATTGAACTGAAAATTTTTTTCATTCGAACATAAAATCAATGGAATATTTGATTTTTCAATAACAAGATTACCTGAAATTTTAGTGGAAATAAAACTGATAAAAATTCCCGCGATTTGACAGGGAAAATTCAGACGACAAATTTCAACACTGCATTTCGAAGATAAAAATTGATCGTGATGTTGTGAATAATTTTGCGCTCAACTTTTCGCTCCGCCTGGCTGCAATGTTATCGTGACATTTCAGTGATACTAAAGTGCATGTCTCCGCCTGGCACGGGAGTCTGGCCCGAGTATATTGCGTCAACCAGTACCAAAACAATAAAATTGAGAATTATTCAAGAACACCGGCTCGATGTACCCCTTATACGGGAGTAGATAGCTGAGGGTGTGGACAACCATAAATGAAACTCAATGCCTTATTGCAGATGCTATGTCATTTAACTCTGATGCCCACTCAATAATCTCTCGGACCCATTGATGGAACCCGTATAATCCGACGTTTATGGAGTGAAGTCATAGACGAGGCCAGATGTTGGGAATAGAAATGTTGCCGTTGCATTTTGTGGAACGGAACTAAACGAAATTACAGATGATTGTGGGGTGTTAATCAATATTTCAATTGAACACTTTCACATCTCATGCTTCTATCGTTTTTCAAATACAAAATGCATTGTGCGGTGAATGACGGTACATTATTTTTAACGCCAGCGTGAGAAATTTGCTGATCTGCTTCCTCTTGTCAGCACATTTTTTTTCCTCACTGTTGATTTTTTTGTTCTTGGTTTTTTGCCATCCACATCGAATACTCCAATCGCGTTGAAAGGCATCGACAATATTAGCTTCGCGGGAGAATATAGCATGCCGGGGGTTACCACATAACAGGCCACTCCAATTGACAAGATTTTTTTTTACTTCTACAAGGACTAGTTGGGAATATTCTTCAGTGTTAAAAAATTTTGGATGAATTTTGTGGAAATTGTTAGCAAGTGCCAGTTTTACTCCCATTTCAAGATATTTTGTTGTTGGAAATTCATATTTTGATGCAAAAATCAATGGAAACTATAAATTGCAGCTCAATTACTCGATGAAAATTAATAGAATTCTGGAAAATTTAGATATAAATGTTATTAAATTTTCAATTAGTGAAAAATTGGGCGTAATTTAGGACGGGACAATTGAAAATTTAGGTAAATTGGGAAATTCTCGTATTCCTGTGGCTCAAAAAAGTAGAATTTCATTAGATGTTCCTTGAAATTTATAATTTTATGGGCTTTTCCGCCTCTGCAAGGAGCAGTTGGGAATATCTTTTACTGTTGAAAACATTTGGCTGAAATTTCCAGCAAACTTCTCGAGAATTCTGCCATTGCGAATTCGTAATTTCATGGAAAAATCAGTGGAACTGTGAATGTCAGTTCAATTATGCGATGAAAATCCATAGAATTCTGAAAAATTCAGATAAAAATGCTCTGGTATTTTCTATTCATCGAAAACTCAGCGTAATTCGGTACTGAATACTCATGTTTCAATTGAAAATTCAAGGCCAGTTGTGTAATTCTCGTATTCCTAAAATTCCTCCTAAATTCCCAATTTGATGAAACAATCAATGGAAACTACATTTCACTTCAATTCTTCAATAAAAGTTGAAGAAGTCCAGTAAAATTCTGGAAAAATCAGATGAAAATACTATCAAATTTCGAATTCATTAATAACTCAACATAATTTGCTACTGAATATTGTCTTGATGTGTTCATATTTTGCTAAAAAAATTGCAATTTCATAAAATGTTCCTTTTCAATTTCATGGTTTTTCCTCTTCAATTAAAATTCAATACTTCTACCCTGCAAAATAACCACTCAACGCGTCCGGAAGCATAACTTTTTCGTCCAGTCCTCAACATATTTATAAAACACTCAAATTCACTGACTACCGAGTTGTTTTTATTTACATCAGTTACACATGTAACAGCCAGTGACTCTCGTCATGCGACATCTACCGTAATAGTGTGACTGGCTGAAGTGTGCGTTGGAGAGATCGTTGGGTATTGGGATGGTGAATGTAGTTGGTGGACTATAACCATATAGTCCACCAACTTGTATATGTACTTGTATATGTACTGGGTTGTACTCGTCACGGCTCCCCGCGACGCGAGCTCTACCGCTGAGGTAGGGGGGTATCGCCGAGTTGTATTGGAACAAGCAACATTGCGCCGTTCCAAGGAATATCGTCGCGGCCAGTCAGCCTTAAACCGCGAAACGAAACCGCACAAGTCTGCCATGCTTGTACGTCATGAATCATTCCATGAATACACCTGACTTTTTTAAATACAAGTGTATAAAGGAGGAGGAGAGGGATAAAAAATAGAACGATTACGGTTCTCCCGAGTCGTCCAGTGTGTTGTGGTTTTACTGGTGATTACTGGAAACATCCGTGAGTTGTCATATGTGATCAAAGTGTGATGCTCATGCCGCGGTCTTCGCGAATTGTGTAAAATTGTGATTGCAAACGTGAAGAAAAATGGGGCTTATCTACCGGATTTGGATGATCCAACAATTGTCATCACGTCATCATATCTTTTGCTTTGGTACTCGAGAAAAAAACGTCCATACTTTATCATTTTTTTCACGTCCATACTTTTTATCTGGTTTTTTTTGCGATTATGCAGAAAGCTATCGCACAATATCATGCGGCGGATAAAACCTAGATAAAAAAAATAAGCACTTCTTCGCGAGTCCGACAATGCGTGAAGGCTCTCTTGCAAGACATCAGGGTCAGCTGTTTTCACTTACCTCTCAACTTGTAAACCCACGCGCACTGGTTAACTGTTAGCTGGCATTAATAGCGTTGATTGGCCGGAACGATGATGGCTCTTGACTAATGGAATCAATCTCGCGATGCATATTAATGATTCCGTTATCACTGGGGTAAAATAGAGCGGTAAATTGTGTGGAAATCTGGCGAGTTTATTGAGATAGGAACTTGCCATGTTGGGCGTAACTTGGGTGGAAAAAAAATTCAATGCGAAATTTCTTTTAGTGCTCGACTATCCATTTTCACAAATCATAAAATTCAATGGGATGGAAAAATACCCATTGAATCGAAATAAGAAGAAAGTAGGCTTTCATGTTAATTCAGTTGAAATTATGAATGGTTTATAAATTATTTTAATGAAGTCAATCGAGAATTTCTAAATTATTTCAGCGAATTTATGCGAAACTCTCGAAAAAAATTAACGATTTATTTGATCCAAATAAAGAATTTTAATGAATGCGTGATTGATGAGTCTTCATTTGGATCGAAGAACCGTTTTTTTTTAATTTAAAAAAACTATGAATTTCACGTGAATAAAAATCGAGTTTGAGTTTGAATCTGCAGCCGCAATTTAATCCTCTTTTCTTCACATAATTTTCCATCCATTGACAACCAACGATCGTCGAAAATTCACAATTCCATTATCAAGACTTTCCCTCGAATACTTTCGCTGAGTATCTGAATGCCCGCATAAGCATCATTTCTACACTCTGTTTGTTGCAGTCCTCGCGTCGTGTAGTGAAGCATAAAAAAGTAGCTTCATTTCTTGCATTAGAAACCAAAACAAAACTACGAAGCGTGCTGTAATTATCGAAATGCCCCTGTTTCTCGGGAGTTATTAATAATTATTATTAGCAATATGAAACCAAGAGTGGAAGATTGATCACGTGAATTTAATAAAGCTATTGCTCAGTTCTTTCCCCTCTCTGTTCTTTGCAATTTCATTCCCCCCAATGCAGCTGCATCTAACCCACTTGTTGGAGACTGCAGGCGCATATCTTGGGGCTAAATAGACCAGCAACGACTAGGATTCAAAGTGAGCAAGTGAGATCAAACTGTCCGGGGACTTTCTCCTCGATCCACGGACTTTTACTTTTGCCACGGGCTAATTTATCGGCATCTTCATTGGAGCGTAAGCACCTCTGGATGGCCTTGCTACTCGAGAATTGCTTTACCAGTTACTAGGTCCGATGCATTCTCTTCTGGCAATTTTCACCTGCACATCGTGATCACAATTGACTTGATTATTTCTCCAAATTTCCCGTGATACCAACTGAATATTTATGAACATGGATGTGAACAGGGAAATTAATGGAAGAGGGTTTTCATCGAATTATCATTACGAGAGTTCAGAAATAATCGAGAGCTGATGAAGAGCTTCGAATTATCGGGGTTGTATAATATCGATGAAAATAGAATGATCAATCACCAGGAAGCAACTCTTATCCAAAAGGCGACTTATGTAATATCTCTCAATTGCGAGCAGTTCAGATAAGATGACTCATCGTCATAATACCCTCTAGCGCAGTCCCTCACGCTTGTATTCGTATTCAGCTTTATTCATGTCATGGTTGCGGCATATTTACGATATTGATTATAAGTGTGTTAATGGGGACGATTGAACCTACTGTTAAAATATTGGTGGGATGGGTGTGTTTTTTTCATGTTGAGCTCTTTTATTTTATCGGAAAACAATGACGAAACTATTCTTTGCATGGAAATTGTATTTTTGGAGTTTTGTTTTGAAATCGAGAAGAAATGTGGGGGAAAGGATAACATTTTCATTTTGAATACTAAAAATGACAGTTTTTGCTTTAAAAAAAAGGCCGAAAAATACAGATGAATTTAGTTCAATATTTTTTATCTCTATATTTCGCTTAATTTCTAGTTGATTTTTCCTCTCTTCAATTATTCTGTGAAAATTAATATGAATCAAAAAGATTCTGGGTAATACCAGTGGTGAATATTCATGTTTTGATTAGAAATTCAAGTAAGTTAGAAAATTCTCGTCTTCCTACTGCTTGAAATTTCCATTTCCACCGACGGTGTGATAATGTTTCAGCAGAATTTATTAGTTTTTATTTTTTTTAAGTCTCAAACATACAGATTAATTGAGTTCACTATTTCATCTCAATTTTTTTCATAATCTTTCATTAATTTTCTATCTATCTAGGCAATCATAATCAATATTGTAGTGCATGGTTGTTATTCACCTCTCGATCCTACACTGTCACATTTAGAGACAACTTCCCTGACCATAATCGTCAAGCATAAACGCTCCTCGAGCCGCATAATTTTTTTCCGGTGACGCGCAAGACACTGATGACTCACCGGGCACGTCCAGTCGTTTTTTTTTTATTTGAAAGGAAAAAATACAAAAATAAGTACTTCCAAGGCATTAAGAAAATCCCCGTTGAGTATATGTATGTAAACAAAGGGGACAAGTCCATCTCATCTAGAGATTTAATTTGCGGTTTCAACATTCTGCTCATTTCATTGCTCATATTCTCAATTACTTTAAACTGTTAAAAAATTTTGTTTGAAATTTCCGGTACACTTTAATTACCACTGAAATTCCAAGGAATTTCGTCGTTGAAAATTCAGAACTTCGTGGAAAAATTAAAGAGAACAGTAAACTTCATTTCCATTTTTCCCTGAAAATGAATAGAAAACTAGATAATTCTGGTAAATATATTCTTGAATTTTCAGAACAATAACACTAAATGCCATTTAGGGGGGAAAAATCATGAAATTTCAGATTTCACTGAAAATCCAATGTAATTTGGCACTGAATATTCACATTAAATTATAAATTCAGTTAAATTAAGGAATTCTCGTCTTTATGCTGATTAAAATTCTGGAATTTTACTGAAGTGTCAGTGAAACCTGAAATTTCATGATTTTTTACGCCTAAATCGCATTCAGTGTCACTGTCCTGAAGATTATTAGCCAACTGTCCATGAAATTTCATTTTTTTTCTGACAGTACAGGCATTCTGCTACTTTTATTGCTCATTTTCTCAATTACTTTATGCTGTGAATATTCAATTGATGTCCTCTATCCTATTAACGTCAGCACTTTTGGCATCCACGAATTGTTCCGCACACGCATATTCACCACATACCGTTCTCCCCCCCCCCCGTAAATCATAGCATGGCGCGTATGTGCATCCCATGCAGTAGGTGGGCATCCGAGCACGTAATACAGATTTCTAAATACTCCGTTACATACATCCGTTCGTATCCTCAACGTTGATTATTACACCCCTAATAATCCCGCATCTCCGGTGGTTCTATACTGTGTGTACCGTTTCACTGAGTTTTAATCTTTATACTTTTTGAGGATGGGTAATTAGCTGGATTGATATGACGTGCCTTCGCGCGGCTCATATCAATATGAGGTCACTCAGACATTGCATTTTGCTGCAGGGATTCAAAACAGATAATTCAGGAGAGATATTGGTTCGTGTTTTCGTGAAGTCATTTATGCTGGCGGATATTGTAAATTATAAATTTCTATTCAACATTATTCCGACATTTTTTCGCGCGTGATTTCAATGAGTTTTGAATAATTTAATCGGAAAGCGAATGCAAGCTGTGAATTATCACTCAATTATTATTGCGTAGAAGTTCAGACAACTCAGTAAATTGTGAAATTTCTGTTTTACTTCGGCTAAAAACGCATGAATTCCCTTGAATTCCACATAAATCGGGAAATGTCACCATCATTCTCCTCCTGAATAGAATTCAATTTCAATCCTATAAAAATTATCATAATTAAAATATTAAATTATTAAAATTAAATTTTATTTCTATTAAAAGTGTATGAATTTCCTAGAATTCTATATCGTGCAATTTCACCATCATTTTTTCCCTAAATGGAATTCAATGTCACTTCTGTGAAAATTACTACTAGCCTGTCCATGAAATTTTAATTTTTTCCTGACAGTGAAGGATTTATTTATTATCAGCAAGGCTTGGTAACTGTTTAGCAATTGCATGTTTGAATACAAACTGAATTTTTTACAGAAATTAGCAAATGTTGACCTTTGTCGACTAGTTTATTCGTTAACTGTTCGTCAAAAATATTGGTTTATTGATAATAAATAAACCCTTTTATCAGTGATAGTTATCGCGCCGCGTATCGGTCTTGTGGAATTTTTTAACAGAACTTGGATAGATAATGCAATAACTAGTAGAAATTACAACAGGTAAAACGGACTGTCTTCAGTCGTCAGTATTTCAAGAACGCCAATGTGAAATTTTCCGATTCTTTTTCATTGTCGAGGGTTTTTTGGAGACTTCAAAATGAAATGAGATTTATTCAAATCGTATCATTTGATCAGGAGATATTAACGATCAAAGACAGTCCGTTGCAATCCACTTTTCTCTACTTCAATATGTTCGTGTTTATTCAATGCACTTGTTGCATTTTTTACCAGAATTTTAGCAAAGAATTATGCAAAACCAGTTTCCAACGCGATTACTCCAATTCAGAGGTGGATTTAAATAGAAATTTATATTTTGCTGCCTAATCTCGACATCTCCATCGCATTAACGCAAGGGCGCACGAACAGATTGTAAAGTTCCAGTTCTCAATTTATTTTGTCCATATTTCCAAAATTAATTATCGAAAGTTTCATATGAGAAATTGTATTCATACTGGTATCTGAAGGCGGATCGAGTGCACACGCATGAAAATTCTCGACCTATATTTCTCGGACTACTTCTCGTCACTGAAAACTGCTAGTAACGATGAAAATTCGTTTTTCAAAATCTCCACATCTATAAAAATATTTTCCATTGAATATTCACACGCAAGAAAGAGCGAATAAAGTACACTGAGAGAAAAATGAACAAGTTCTCAAACAAGTCTTGTTTAGACTGAAAAGATCGTGACCTAAAAATGACCAAAAAAGAAATTGTCGCAGAGTTAGTTCCACTGAAATTTTGGGAAATTTCGTAATTGAAAATTCAGAATTTCATGGAAAAATCAATGAGAACTGTAAATTTCAGTTGAATTTATTTAATATATTCTTGAATGTTCAATTAATTCAAAATTTATGCTAATTCGGCACTGAATATCCGTGGTTTCATTACAAATTCAAATTAATTGAGGAATTCTCGTCTCAAAACTGTAGAATTTCATTGAATTTTCACGGAAAACTGAAATTTCATGACGTAAATAGTATATTTCGATACGAGTCCGTAAAAATGTCTCAGTTAGATCGCTGTTTTCGGGGCCAGTTACATCAAATATTGTATGTCACACGGCGATAAAAGTATTATCTGACTCATCCGATTATAATCCTCGCCTTCAGCTCGGATGAAGGATTAAAAAAATAAAGGATTATAAAGATAATACTTTTATTGCCTGATGATATAATGTACTACGCTGTTAACAATTTTCATCTGAATTTTCCTTGTCAAATTCCGAAAATTTTTATCGTGTTTAATTTCCACTGAAATTTCAGGTAACATCACCATTGAAAAATCAAATATACCATTAGTTTTCAGTTCAAATGATCTGAAAATCAGTAAAATACTTGATTTTTCAGCGAAATTATTCCGTGAAAATTTGGAAAAATGAGGAAAGTTTCTGAATATTCATGTTCCATTAAAAATTCAATCAAGTTATGAAATTTGCGTCTCACTCCCACTGAAAACTCATGAACTTCTTTGAATTCTACCTAAAACTTGAAATTTCATAACCATTTTCCCCTAAATTCGATTTCATGTCACTCTCATGAGAATTACTATCATATTTTCCATGAAATTTCAAACAATTTCTTACAGTATTTTGACCCGTGGGACGTGTATAGCATTCGCTGAAGGTGCGCCCTACCCCCTCAAGGGTCAAAGAACACTTTTCCCACAAACATCGAACTCTATTTTTCATCACAATGTGGGCTCCGCGTGCGTAAAATTTACTTTACGCACAAGTAACGAAAAATTCTTTGAAACAACTACATCCATACCTGCGAAAAAAAAATTCATTTCAAGACAATCTTTAGATAATCAGCACTCAATTCCGTTTTTATAATTCTTAACTTCCGATTCTCTCTTCTCAAACAAGACTTGTTTAAAAAAATCGAATCTTTCTTCCTCAGTGCAGCACTTCTTCCACTCATGGAGGTTTAAATTATTCATACATCAGGATCACTCTGTCGGATTCACGATAAAATTGACTCGTTTTCCATGTACCTGGAAGACTTAATTTCCATGAAAACGAGCCATCGCCGCCATCACTAACACATTGTTAGCGATGTAGGCGAGAGGTATTACGATTTAAACTTGTAGTAGTGGGAGACACTTGCCCCACCTCCCACACCGCAGCAAGAGTTTGACAGTTCCATTACCGTATCAAACCTAACGGCAGCATCGTCGCGAATAGTTTATATTCGTCCATCGACGTGTGTGGTGACCAGCAAGGTACCCTTTTCACTCGACCATTCCATTTTTCAGTAGCATTTCGACACATTTCCTATAATGGTTTCTCACCGTTGCTTGTGTTTCGTGCGAGGAAGTGAAGTAACGAAAAGAAAAATTCAGTGACGTAAAATATATGTGAAAAATGGGCGTTTTTAGGGAAAATTAATGTTGAAATTCTCCGTTATTATGAATCCTATTTATAAATATCTCTTTAAATGGTTTCAATGAAGAAAATAGTACTTTGGAAAGCTGGGGCAATTATTTTGGAAACCGATTCAGTGGTCGTTACTATTCATTGACGTTGATCGGTACGTGCGACCTCGATGTACTCGTGTATTAAAGAACAAACGGTATTGAATTTTATTTAGCCACGAAATATAGCACTGACATTGAAAAATCACTCGTTTTCGAATCCCACATTTTATGTATTTTTGCAATAATGATAATTATAGTTTGCGTGTTGTTTTCGTCATTCGTCACGAGTGCAGTATCTGGAAACCGATCGTAAAAGTGCACATGACATTGACGTTCTGATAAGAAGTGCCGTGTCAAGTAGGAGAGTCTCGTTGCTGTATTAGACATCGAGAAATCTTTGAGTAATAATTCTGTTAACGAGGTCTCAGCATTATTCGCATTCGATTCGGGGATAAGTAGACGTGAGACTGATACGTTGATTATGCATTCTCGGCACTTACGTATTTCCTGCGCCACTGACGGCTCCACTGACGTTCCTGCGTCGATCAGCCGTACTGGTCTTGATTGCCCATCATTAGAAAGTCTTGACGCCCTATTTAATTATGAATCGATTGGTAGAAAGCGATGGGACTGAGTAGACCTTCCTACTTCGTGGAAAAATCTTCTTAAAGGAGAGTATTTTGTTGAATTTCTCATTTTTTGCTCGGTACACAGGACTAGGAATTCTAAAATAGAATCAGTCGATGAGATTGAAGGTCACTTGTCGGAAAGGTCATGGCGCGGCCTCTTTGCCGCATCAACGCCTTTATCGCAATTACCGTCTCGTCATTTTAACTAGTTCTCAGGAAGAGAAACATCAAATTAGTGGACACTGTTGGGAAGAAGTCGAAATCTCGTGGAGATTTTAGTGGCAATTTACGGACAAGCGATTTTAAATCTGATGTATTGTACGGAAAACATCATCGAAGTTTTATTACATTTTAGTTCCACTGAAATTTCGAAGAATTTCGTCATTAAACGATTGGAATTTCATGAAGAAATCAATGAGAACTGTAAATTTCGGTTTAATTGTTCCCGGAAAATTAGTAGAAATCAGGCAAATTTCGGTAAATGTATTCGTGAATTTTTAATTTATTGAAAATTTATTGCAATTCTGCATTACATATTCATGATTTCATGGAAAATTTAAATAGGTTGAAGGATTCTCATCACATTGATTTTTAAATGAAATTTCAAATTTCATTTTTTGCCTTTAAATCGCATCTATGAAAATTATTTTTTTCCTGAATTTTCCCTGATTTCCATTGATTTTTCCATAAAATTTTGAATTTCAAATGACGAAATTCCTGAGTGAAACTTATCAATAAAAAATATCAACCAAAATATTCAACAGTGAAAATGTCACCACCCCTGATACAATAATTCATTTATTATTAACGACGTTCGTTGAATATGAGCCCATAAATATTCGTTAATAGTCAGCAAATCACAAGAATTAACTCAACAAAATTAGTTAGGCAATTAAAAATAGAGCCTTCAGTCAGTGAATTGATGAAGTTGGTTTTACAAAAATTACTCAGGTCCGATGGATACAGCGCTGTATCTATAAAATTCAGGATTTACGAGGAAAAGCCACCGTAATTAATCAACCACTCCGCATTAATGGACTAAAGCTCCATAATCAGCCGAAAATATCAAGACGAAATGTGTCGTGAAAGCGTTGCATGAAAATCCCAGGAGAACATTAAACTATTAGTGTTGAGTGTCGTGTGTCACGGAGTACACACAAGAAAGTGAAATTATGTTCGGTGTGACAATGGTGGAGCCACGAGAAAGGCTAGTTGCGTGTACATCTCAAACGCACCATCAGAATAATTGTCATCGTCATCACTATCACCATATTGTCAAGACAACGAGGATACATCAGAGCTCGAGGAGCAACAGAGTTGTAACTGTGCAGGAGAAAGTGATAAGATCGCGTCTGCAGCTCGGATATTCAACGCCAACCAGCTTCATAAATCGGTATATATTTTGTACATAAATTAATGATACCATACGAGCACGTTAATCACGCAATTAGTCAACATTATTGTCCTCGAATATTGACGATTCACTTCTCCCACCCCGAAATTACTGTTACGTAACTGTCAACTCGATAAAACACTTGTCCGTACTCTTGTGAGAAGGCGATGTTGCATGGATAATACAAATTTACCCAGTGTGGGGTGTTACGCAGGATGTTCTTCGTGATTCGGCATGTCTCCCACACGTTCGAACTCAACATTTAGCTATGGTAATGGAGAGAATGAGAAAATACAGCGGTCGCGGGAGATTACGCAATCCCTCGCACGCTTTGGCTTCTTTTATCACCATAAATGCATATTTTAATTGCTGTGCGTTTATTGTGAGTCAGAAAATCAATTAATCTCGAGAGTCAATCGTGAAACTTCGAGATTTTTTCTTAAATACGCCCTGTTTGAACCGAAAAAATCGCGCGTTAAAAATTACCGATAAGTCGGATCTCGTGATGACCATCTGGCGACTGTCCTGGGATGAAGAATTTTTTTCGCAGAAATTTTATTTTATTGTTGCTAAAAAAAATTTTTATATTTGCAAACAAGAAATGTCATTAGTTTTGAGGCTTTCGCGGCCATTATTAATGATATTATTGGCTACAATGTTTGCGAAGTGTCGGCGTAATGCTGAAATCAAACGCGGCATCCATCCGGAAGCCAATAATATCAAGAAATGTCATTTCTAGCGCTACTTCTCCGTTATTCGATACTCCCAAGCGTATTTTGCTCCCGAAAAATGTGAATTTCGTGCGAAACATGGGACAGAAGTTTTTCGTTTCAGCTATTGAATATCCCCAGATAAGAAATTAATTAGTAAATAAAATGATAACGGTGCTTGAGACTTTCAAATTCCGGTCAAACAATTTCTTTTTTGGTATTTGATAATTTTTAATTCGCAATTCTTTTGGTTCAAATGAGAGTATTTTAAGAACTCGTTGGTTTTCCTCTCAGCGTAAAAAAAAAATCCAGTTTTATTTATTTGTGTTGAGAAAAGTTCGTACAACTGCGATTCAATTACTCCCGGTATAAGTCACATTCCATTGCTCATGGGGAAGCCGTCAATAGTTTGATTGCAGAGTAAAGATGCTGAAACGCTAAAAAAATGATGCACGGAAAAAACAAAATCCATATTCAATTTTATTTAAAAAAATTAGCACCCTGGAGATTCAATTAATCCTCGATTTAAATCGCATTCCGCTGCTAATGAAGAAGCCATCATAATAGTTTGATTGTATAACACTTCAACGTTCTTTCCATTTAGTTATTTTCACTCCTTTGTCTCGGCATTTGTATTCAGATCAGTGTTTCTATTGAAAAATGGGGAAAATGACGGAGTGAAGGGGGTTTGGGGCTTCCGTGTGGGAATATTTACCGGCATTCGTGTTTCCGGAGTTTTGAATTTTCGAATGAAGAGGGACAATGGACTGTCTGGTGAATGTAAATTATTCACTTTTGTTTGCTTCTCTCATCTTTTTGGTTAAAGTCTCTTAATCTGTATGGAAAGAGTTGAGGCGAAGAGTGACCAGTCCAAAGAGTTCATCACATTTTTTCCGGGAACTGTTTTTGTAGTGTAATCGACAGATGGTAGCGACCCCGCGAGCTCGTACCGATCCCTCAGTAGGAAAAAACGACCTCGAGACTACAGTCTTGGCCTCTTCAGAGTTTGACGATCACGTGGATGAAGCCAACTAGCTTTTGTGAGTGTAATTAGCGGAGTCTATTGGGTATTATTCGCGTTAATTGGTGACGAACATTGGCTCTGTTTACACCGAGATCGAATTGAGATGATGTTTTTTCTTGGAATGTTTTTTCAGCGATGATTCTAATACCGCCGTTGCGGTTTTGATGGGAATCTATGGGGATTGATGACTTCCGCCGTGGGCTGTATGAAAACACTGGGGAAAAATTCATTTAAACCAGAATAATTTGGTGAGATTTGAGTCTCACCGGGGATCACGGAGATTAACAATTATCTTACTGTTTTATAAGAGTGTATTACGTCATATTCTCCGCATTTCTATTTCAAAAGTTATTAAACATCACTGTTGGAATTTTTTTGAAAATTAAGCAATAGTTGCATTTGTATTCTCACTTTGGTGAATTTGAATTCAGTTTAAGATCAAATCGTTCATGGAATCTCTCGTTCAACTTGGAAATTCAGGATAATGGGGTTTTCCATGTTAGATTATCATTGATATTTCGATAACGTCTAGAATTCTCAAATTCATTGCAAAAATTGAACATCACAGCTAACTGAATTTTCAGTGGATTGAAAATTCAGGAAAATTGTTGCTTGAATTTTCGAAATATTTAATAAATCTCATTGTCATGTTGACCTGAAAATTGCAATTCCATTGAGTACTCCAGAATTCAACTGATTTTTGAAGAACAAAATATGTGAAAATTTCGCGTGAATGAGTGATTGTTGAAAATTTCAAGACTTGCTTCAAATTTCAGGAGTAATTTTCTGACAGTGATTAAATATAAATAATTAAATTGCATGCGTGGAGATCAAATGTAATTTTTGTTGGAGAAAATTCATGATGTCAGAATTAATTAAATTAATTTAATTTACATTATATAAACTAATTTAAATCTGCAGAAATTATTCTGCAGATTTAAACAAAATTATCGCTGTAAAATCGTGTGGCTTTACAAAATAATTATCAAAATGTGAAATTTCATTATTTTTTCTCCCGCAATCAAATTTAATATCACTCTCCCAAAAATTATCCTACAGTACGATAATTATATCCAAATTTTTCTCCCGATGATGGAAACAACAATTGGAAACTGTGAATTTGTCACGGATCAGGAGAAATTTTTGTTTAACATCCTGAGCTTAGAAACATGTATGAAATTCTGGCTGTGGGATATTTTTTCAGACGGATCTTCTTCTTGTATTCAATATGTCTGGTATTCCAATTGAATGTGCCCCCGTTCACGGACTAAATATCAAGGGACCGCCAGTTGGCTGCCAAGGTCTTGCTCTCAGTACATTCAATTGAACTACTTCTCTGCATAAATCAAAAATTGAAATTTTCAGATGTGCCCTAGAATTGGATCTGTCCACAACTTCCGTTGAGTTCCACCGGATGCTGAATAATCTCCCACATGCGTTTGTTTGTATCGTATTACACTCCACCAATGACGATTTTACATTTTGTGTCTCTCGTGAATTGATCCTTTCCTGTATCGACATAACAAAGAGTAGCTTTTTCGTTATTACTTTTTTCATTTTCAATATTATGAATGCAGTTTATGCAATAACGGAAGCGCTTTGTTCCGAGTTTAATCTCGTTTAAAAATTATTGCGTTTTTTCACTGCAATAACAATTTCAAATGCTCCGATGACCCCAGACTTATGCATATTCATTTGATATTGGTGACGCTGGGACAAAAGAGTCGACTCAATGACATCGAAAATTGATTCATGAACTATTGACCGGAATCCGGTGTAAGCAGTTTTATTCTGGAATTGAGGCACAGTTTCATTCATCGATCCAAGTTTTCTTCAACCTCTGTCACAACTATTCAGTTTATTCTGCTGGAATTAGTTCTTTCATATGTTCCTATTTGCGTAAGGTGACCTTTTCATTCAGTGCAAGAATTAACATTATAAATAATGATCGCTCCACTCGCAATTTAAGAAAGGAGAGATCGTTATTGAATCTTGCTTTAAAAACAGTCTGTCTTCAATCGTTAATATCTCTTGCTTACAAAAAATCTATGAACATGAAAAAAATGGGGAAATTTCACTGAAATTTCGGGTACATTTTTCGAAAATTTTTATCGAATTTAATTATCACTGACATTTCTAGGAATTTCATCATTGAAAATTCAGAATTTCGTGGAAAAATCAAAGAGAACTTTGAATTTCAGTTCCATTTTTCTCTGAAAATGAATAGAAAACCAGAAAATTCAGGTGAATATATGCTTGAATTTCCAGGACAGTGACACTGAATGAAATTCAATGTAATTTAGCACTAAATATTCACATTAGATTGGAAATTCAAATAAATTATGGAATTCTTGTCTCTATGCTGCTTAAAATTCTGAAATTTCACTGAATTTTCAGTGAAAGCTGAAATTTTATGATTTTTTCCCCCTAGAGCGCATTTAGGGTCACTGTTCTGAAAATTAGTAGTCAACTGTCCATGAAATTTCATGTTTTTCTAACAGTGTTCTCCAGTTATTCGCGAAGAAGTGAAGGTCTCTTTTATCCCACTCTTCCCTCCGAAAGCAGAAAAATAAAGAACTCAATTTTGATTGGGCTGATGACCTAATTGAATGACGCGTCGAGTATGTCACGCAGAGTGGTAAAAAAATCTGACCCTCGAATCACACCCATCATTTCAAACGACCCGAAACAAATGTGTCTCCCTGTTAATTAAGACAATTTCTCCGGGTTTTGTTTTGGCTCCAGTGTTCCCTCTGCCTCTCGCTCTGTGTGCACTCACACAAATTGCAGTGGATGGAGAGCCGCCAAACCGTTATCCCGGAGTATTGTTACATTTAATTCACCACCAGTTTCGGAGTATATATCATAATGCTGTGTACTCGATAACGGGAAGAGTGAATTAAGCCGTGCTGTACTTATTGCGTGTCTCAACTGGACTGTGATCATTGAATTTTACTGGTATCTTATTGGAGTTAGGGAATTGGAGCATTTCACACTTAATTCAGAACTAGCTGCATACGCAGTGGAAACTCATACTGCATTGTGTCACGCAATGTACAGCAAATAATATTAATTCGAAGAAGAGAATGATTTACACTGAGAGAAAAACAAGCACATGTCAAACAAATCTTGTTTGGGTCAGCAAAATCGTTAGCTGAAAATTGCCAGAAAACGAATTTGTCTGGTTCGAATTTGAAAGTCTCAAACATGAATAATTGTTCTGCTTTCGACAGCGTCGAAATATTTGGCTCAAGAGGCGGATAATA